AGAGAGAGAGAGTAAACAACCCAGCAACAGAGCTCACAGGCAGGGGCGCAGTAGAAGCCCACTGGCTGGGAGTGGTCCCAGCCAGGCAGTAGCCACAGAGCCTAATGCAGTCTGTCAAGTCAGCTCACATCATCTGAGAGCACCACTTAGCAGCACTGACACCCCAGGAAAATGAACAGTTCCTCTTGAAACGGGGTTGAGGTGGGGGTGGGGGTGGGGCTGACTGCAGCTGAGGTTGGAAGAGCAGCCAGCTCACTGCTATTTCTGAAGGACCCCAATGTGGTTACTCAGGGAGCTGTGATTAAGCTCATCTATAATTTGATGAGTGGAAGCAGCCTCACATTTTATAGAATATTAAGTCTCACTGAGAGAACAGTACAAGGTGTTTTGGGGCCTCAGCATCCCCTAAGGTTGGTCCCCATTTACATTCTCTGCTCTGACATATGTCCATTGATGCCAAGGCCAGGATGGTCCTCAGCCACAGTACTGAGAATACTTTCTGGCCCTGCTTTCTACACCTCCAGCCCTCCATAGTGCCCAGGCCACTGACAGATCTCACAGATACAATGGACACAGTTGCAGTGAGACGCAGGAGACTCAGCCTCCTTTCTGTGCTGCTCTCTGCAAAACTGTGGGCTAGGAAAAAGTTCAGTTTAATGCTCCCCACACCTCACAGGCTACATGGTCAGCCTCTGAGTGAGCAGAGTCCAGCCCAGCTCAAGGTCCCTAATGGGGAGACTGAGGTCAGCTGGGGGCTAGAGGAAGGGGTCCTAGGGAAGGCCTCGGATTCTTTCTTGGCTCTTCCACTTTCTGTATCTTGGGCAAGTAGCTTTACCTTCCCGAGACTCAGTTTCCTCATCTGTAAAATGAGAATATGGTCTTACCTAACTCATAAGCTGTTTATGAGGATCAGATGAAAGGTAAGTTGTAAGCACACTTGATTAGTTGTGAAGGGGCATGTGCATGTGAGGACTTGCCAACAGCTCCCCAAATGTATTCAAACCTGGGTCAAAGCTTTTGGCTGCTTGAGGGGACTCAGGTGGCCACTCAGCCTGGTGTGTGCCATCAAGAATGAGGGCTGAGATAACCACAGCTACAACCTTCTGCTCAGACAGCGAGGAGTATGAAAACCTTGCAGAATGAGGGCCCTGGATTCTTGACCTGACTGGGCCATTTCCAAGTATCCATTGGACTTGTTGAGATTTAAATTGTTCTATGTGGGTCTGAGTCAAGCCAAGTGCCAAAGGAGTTCAGTTAGAGGTGGTAGATTTCCACTCAGTCTTTGGATAAATTTTCCCCAACCAAGAACACACCATCTGGGGAAGTGATGAGTTCTCTGTCACTGGAGGGTTTCAAATCCTGGCCAGCCCCCAGGAGGCCCCCAGGAAGTGGAGAGTCAGGCTTGATGAAGGCTGAGTCCCTTCTTTCCTTCTCTGAGTTTTGGGGGTCCTGGCAGCCTCTCCCAGCCCCAGCTCCTGGCCTGGTCCTTGGTGCTTACCCTATACCTCTAAAGTCACCACTCAGAAACCACCTCCTTTGGAGCCTATAAACCTGGGGAAGGCCTTATGGTGCTGGGGCTTTGTCTGTCAGGCTTCATGAGAGCACACAGCACCACGGCCCTCCTTGTTCCAGCTCCTCACCTGAGGGTTCTCAAGCTCTGTGCTCATTAACCCTCAAGCCCTTTGGGGGCAGCTCCAGAATCTCTCTGTCCAAGGTTTGGGTTTGGGTGTTCATGAAGCCCTCAGAAATGCCCCAGATAGGGGCAGTGTTAGCCCAGACAAGGCAGAGTTCCTGCTGGAGGGCTGCTGGTGAGCTCCTCCAGTACCTTCTCTCCTAGGTAGCGGCACCCAGAGCCCGGAAGGGAGGGAAGCAGCAGCTGGCTCACGTGGCAGCGCACTGCAGTTGTTGCTGGGCACGTGTGTGCAGATTTTCCCACTGTTACCTAATGGAGGTATTTTCCCCTTCTTATTTAGGATCCTGGTGCCAGCTGCTCTGATTTTCATGCATCACTAGCTCTGGGTTGGAGGTTAAATCTGATATGGCTGCCCAGTTGAATCCCTTACTTGCTGAGAGACTTGGAGTAGTCTGTTTCCTTAGGTATAAAATGAGATACTTACTCCACCCTGCCTACCTCCCAGGGCTGCTGCAAGAATCAGGAGAGAGAAAGGGGTGAACTGGCTGTGTAATGGGTCCAAACTATACAGATGTCTCTTGTTGTTACCTGGCATCCTGAGCCTGGTGCCACCTGAGCTGGGGGAGCCTCTGCTTGCTCACATCAGCACCTATACCAGGTTTGCACAGCTTTGCAGAGCTGGGCACTGTTTGAAACAGGTAGTGAACAGGCCTCACAAGTGGGGACTCTTTGGCATGCCCCCTGCTGTGGGCAGCAGAGGCACAGCCCAAGCAGCTTGAGGTAGGCAGGGCCAGGCCAGCCTGTCACCTGCTCACAGCGCCTCTTGGCCCTGGGGTAGAAAGTTAAGCATAGCTCTGGAATAAGGCATTGTCAGGAGCATCTTGCAAAAAAAAAACCCTCCACCAGCCTCCAGCCATCAAGGAAGGTTTAGTGCCTGCTGAAGGCAGCAGGCCATGGGTCTCACAGACAGATGTGCTACTGGGCAAAGTCCGGGGTGCAAGCTGAGCCTCTCCTGACACCTGTCTCACAAGTTCTAGGCTTTATCTACATGCTTCCCCTCCTCCAGCCTGAGGCTCCAAATGAGGCCCTGGACTGAGAGCCACCTGCTGAAGTTCACACCACAGGGGTGGCAGAGTGGGACCGGCAAGGGATGCTGGACTCTCTCCCCACCTCACAGGCTCTGGGGAAGATCAAATAAGATCAGGAATCCTTGGTCCCTGACCCAGGCACCTGCTGACTAGGAGATGGGTGTACATATCAAGGGGCCCAGGCCCGTGCTACAAGCTCAGAGCGGGAGAAGTGTCTTCAAGCCTCCCTGACCCAGTGAATCCTTCCAAGGGGTAGATGCTGCAGATGGTGCTCCTGCCCAAGGCAGTGCCATTTGTTCCCAGTAGGACTGGATAGTGAGAGCCAGGTGACAGCCTCTGAAAAGTCTCCTCCTTCCTCTCAACCCCACAAGGAGGGGCAGCTCTCTGCTGACAATGAGTGAAGAAGGTTCCCAGGGCTGTTGGGGCCACAGGGTGAGTGAACAGCAGCACTCAGGAGCCTTTCATGTTGGTGCTGGGTCTGCCCTGATCCACTGTGATGCCAGAGGAGTCGCTTCCCTTTTGGGAATAGCCATCTCTTCCGTTCTGCCCACCTCAGCAGGCTCTTGTAAGGATCAAAACTAGACTCTGCACCTCCGTAGACACTAAGCTGCCAAAAAATGAATGGTAAATGTGAGGTTTTAACTAGTACTGAGATTATCTGGAAGGGGAGATTCTCTGGGCTTTTCAGTCATGAGGATAAAAATTAAAAATCAGGGCAGCCTGCAGGCCAGCCTAGCAGTTTTCTTTCTCCTGGAGACCCCAGCAGACTTGGAGGCAGGTTCTCCGGTGTTCAGCTTACTGCTGATCCCAACTCAGAGCGTGTGCCCATCTCTGCTTCTTGCTAGTTCCCAGCTATCCATGCATCTGTGTGACAAGTGTTACATTCATTTCCCTTTAATAAACTTAAGCATGAAAACAGAAGATGTAAAAATGCAATTCTGAAAAGCAAGCTCTGTGAGACACACAAGGATCTTATTATTATATAAACATGATGGCCATCAAATGTCCCTCTCTGGGCTCTGGAGAATTGCAGACCTGTCTGCCCTCCCTGTCATCCCTGCAGGCCCTCTTGGCCTTGCTTTGCAGAAGGGAGCTGGGACAGGGCATCCATGATTGAAGACAGGGGACAAAGGCCCAAAGGGCAGGGTGAATTTGCCCATTGTGGGATCCGCTTTTCCTTGAGTTCTGTCTGAGCCCCATGGCCAGTCTCAGCTACCCAGGAATGCTGTTTCTAAAGGGCCTTGCATATTTGTGCCAGTGGGGATCAGGAACCTCTGAGGCTTCAGGCTTGAGTGGAAGCTCCCAGAGGGGAGCAGAGGCTGCGGAGGCAGTGCACCCTCTACCGGCAGGCCTGGCCCTCCCAAGGAGAGTGGAAGGGCCCATTTTTGTGGGAGTGAGCACTCAGGAGCCTGTCCTAGGCCTGCAGCCATCTAGGATTGTGCCTGGTTTTGGTCCAAACATCCAGACCCTGGAAAACTTCAAGGACAGCAGCCTTCAAACCCAAATCCTAGAAGCAATGACACAGACTCTGCCTATTGGTGACCTTGCTTACTAATTAAAAATAAGGCCACAGCACGAAGGCAAGCCATCAACAAAGACCACTTTGAGCTCTACAGAATATGTGTGTGAATGTGTGAGAATATGTGTGAATGTGTGTGAGTGTGAGCACCACGCGAGACAGGAAGAGACTCCAGACCCACACCTGGAGGAGAAGGAGCCAGTGTCTGGCCTTTGTACCACAGCTCCTGCCAAGGATGCCCCATTAACAGAGTTTCCACCCCAAGCAAAACTAAGCAGACTCAAACCAGAAACCGCCCTCTTAGTCAAAGAGCACCTCCATAAGTCTGTCCTAAGTTTTAAGAGGTTGGAGAAATCTGCAAATAGAAACCTTCACAATGTCCCCACTCTCTCCACATAGTTCTGAATTGCCGGCCATGGTGGCACACAGCAGCACCACCCGCAGGCAGAGAGGTGAATGACGGGCACGTGGCGAGTAAGGCCCGTGAGAGGCCACAGACCTCTCAGTGGAGACCTGGCCAGATCCAGAGCACCCTGTAACACAAAGTGTGAAGTAGTGCCACAGCAGGGACAGGAACACATGGCTTGGACCATTTATAAGCAATAAAAAGATTAATCATGTATCCAATTTGGGCTACAAATTCTTTGCGTACAAAAGAAAGAAATCAGTTCCCTTACTCATGAGGTTGGCTTAAGGATCAAATGAGATAAATTTTTTGAATGGGGATTTTGGCTTAAAAATCTAAAGGATCTGGATTCTATTTTATAATAAATCAGCTTTTAATATAAAGATGTTTCCCAAAAATCTTTGTATGAAATCAACTCCAGAAAGAAATGCAACATGTTTGCCCCGAGGAATAGGGGCCCCGCCCACCATTCTGTAACCCTACCCAGGAGGCCTGGGCCGGCCACCCCCGTGGCTGACACTAAAACTGGTAGTGGGGTCCTCCAGGGATGGTGGATTACCCACAAGTGGGTAATGAAGAGGCAACTGTACAAGCTCCTTCTTCCCTCCCTTCTCACCCCTCCCACCAGGGCTCCTGGCAGAGGCCAGCTGGAAACTCTTCAGTGTATATAGATCCTGTCGGAGATCGCCCCAGGCAAGTGGGTCATGATCTGCATTCGCAGCCACCAGTAATAGTCCATGGGGTGGTAGCGGGTGTAAGGCTTGGCAGCAGTCAGGGCATGGGTGACAGCATCGATAACAGGGGACGTGTCAGTGGAACCACTGTTGCAGTAGGTATGCATGGTGGCGGTCTTCTCATCAAAGTACTTCTTGCCGTAGTCCTTGCGCACCACCTCAGGCAGCTCATCCCACATCTTATTAGCGATGGCCTGGATGCGCTCGGGGCTATAGAGGCTCGTGGCAGCGATGAAGTTGCCAGGTTCCACCACACAGACCTTCACACCCAGAGGATGCATCTCATAGCGCAGGCAGTCAGAGAAAGCCTCTACCCCGAACTTGGTGATGCAGTATGGGGAGCGGGCTGGATTGGCCATGCGGCCCAGCATGCTGCTGATGTTGACGATGCGGCCTACAAGGAAGACAGTAAGCACCTGCTCAGAAGGCGCTGCCTGGTGAGGCAGAGGGCCTATGCCTGGCATGTTTCTAGACACCTAGCTAGACCCTGGTCTCCTGGCCCTTGATACTTATTTTGTTGCCTGCCAGGTAAGGGCCCGGCCTTCTGCACCACCCAAGATTGGGGGGCCTTCTTGTTCATAGTCAAGGCCAGGTCAGGCCCACACACCAGCATCAACATCCCTGACATTTTCCAGGTAGCCAGCTGTACTGGGTAGAACAGGGGAGGAGAAATCAGTGAGAACCAGGCCTGCATACGAGGAGGGCACAGTATAATGTGCAACACACAACTAAGTTGTGTCTCACCTCTCCCATTATATCTTCCCCCCAAAATGTTATCACCTGGCAGCACTCTCTCAGCAAGCAGGGAGGTGCAAGGGCAGGGGCAGGGTCCTGAACCTGTCTTCAGGACTAGGATACGTGAGCAGAGTCTCAGGCGCTGGGAAAGAGGGATGACTTCAAGCAACCCTCCCACAGGTCCAGCCTGGGTGTGCTGGGAGCTGACCACAGCTTCTCCCAGCCCTGGGGGTGGTGGAGTGGAGGTGGAGCCCATCCAGACAGACAGCCCAGGCAGACCTGGGGCCTGTTTACCCTAGGTGTGCACCCAGGAAGTAAAGGCACAGCCCTATCCTGGGCCCTATGAGAGGCTCCTTTCAGAAACCTCTAAGTTGGAAGTCACTGAAGGGTTCTTCTAAAACCCTTAGCCCCCTGTGGGTTCATCCTATCATTGCTGGGACCTTGGGACAGATCACATGGATCTCCCCTTCTTGCCATAACATTTGCTGTTCTAGGGAGAACATCTGAATTAGTGACTTCTTAGGTGGTCTGGTTACGTTTGGTTACCTAACATGGTTTGGGCATTTTGCGCTCTCCAAATTTCTAATCTCATTATTGTTTACTTATTAGCACAATTGTCTCTCTCTCTTTTTTTTTTTAAGTATGGCATAGTAACACTAGAGTGGATATACCAATATTTACCTAACCGTATCCTTACTGATACTATGATATATACAAAGCTCTGTACACAAGGGTGGTTATTTCTCTAGATCAGGTTCCCAGAGTAGGATCCTTTGCTGCATAGACTGCCTCTCACAGGCTGCATTGCTTGCCTCTCACCTGAAATACCTTCTTTTCTTTCCAAGATTTTATTTTTAGAGAGGGGAAGGGAGGGAGAAAGAGAGGGAGAGAAACATCGATGTGTGGTTGCCTCTCACATACCCACTACTGGGGACCTGGTCCACAACCCAGGCCTGTGCCTTGACTGGGAATTGAACTGGTGACCCTTTGAATTGCAGGCCAGCACTCAACCACTGATCCACACCAGCCAGGGAGAATCTGAAATACCTTATGAAAACCACACATCCCTTTCTGCCTGCCAGGTGACAGCTCTTCCACCCACCACCACACCCACAGGTCCGACCGGCCCCTGGGAGTCATGTGCTCAGCCTCACTAGGGTACCCACTAGGCTGTGGGTATTGGATATGCTGAGACCTACTCCCATTCTGAGCAAAGATGAAATTGTGGGGCAGGTCCAGGGGGTAGAAGGGAGGTCCCTTTCCAACTCACCTTTGGCTCTTCGGATGAGGGGGAGAAAGGATTTTGTTACCCTCACTGTGCCCCAGAGGTTCACTTCTGCCACCTCCTTGTAGGTCTCCATGCTGGTGAACTCCACTTCCCCGAACGTTGAGATGCCTGCATTGTTAACCAGGCCCCACATGCCTGGATGGGAGGGTGCAGAACCGAGGTCACCACATGTACTACGTCACCCATCAGCCTGCTGCCCACTCTCCTCCCCACTTTCATCCTTTTTCCCTATGACTTGCCAGCTTTGTTCCCAAGGCTCTGGGGATACCTTCTAGAATCACCAAAGAAAACAGGAGATAGACAGTGCTGGCTGTAACCCTCCCTTAGTCTAGACCGTCCAATCCTTATCTTTTTTCCTCCTTAAACGAGCTTCTGGGCCCATGATGACCCAGGCCTGCTGGTGCCCCTAGCCTGGAGTCCCACCTCACCTCACACACTTCCACTCTATTCCAGACCCCCGGGCTCAGCCCCACACTCCTCACCCAGGCAGCCGTGTGTTATCCCTGCCTCTGAACCTTTGCTGGCGTTCTCCCTCTTGCCAGAGGCCCGGGGAAACTCGGGAGCCTTCCCGGCCAAGCTCTTCTGGAAGACCAGAGAGCTGACCCAGCATCCAAAGTCACACAGCAAGTAAGAGGCTCAGCCAAGCCTTGATCTCAGGTTGGGCCCCCAATCCTACTTCACCCTGAGACCCACCTAACCGTGACTCCATGCTCTGACCTCCCTTCTCTGAACCATGCACTGTTGCTGGTTATCATGTGGTGAGCCCCTGTGATCCAGTAATCTTTTCATCACTAACTCATCTGTATTCACCTGGTCTTTGCAGGTACAGAACACCCCTCTGACTTGTGTGGTCCTGTGGGGCTGAACACAGGGTAAGAGCAAATGCATATTCTCCAAATATACCTGGGTTGATTGTTTCCAGTAAGACCAGCAGCTGGCCTTTACAGACACAGAACACTGGTGCTAGAAGGCTCCTTAAAGGTCACTTAGTCTGATAACTAATCTTACAAGTAGGGACACAGAGGCCCTGAGAGGAAAAGACTGGTTTCAGTTGGCCCAGTAAGTTAGAAGCAGAAGCTAGTTGGGGAAAGTGGTGGTGAGGAGGCAGCCATACAATACAGGGCCCCCTTTGAGTTTGGTTTTTTGGGATGCAAGGACAGGACGGGCCAGAGCCTCAGGACAGAACAAGGCCCTGCCACTATGGTGTGGAGACCCTCAGGGTTCAGTCTCCAGGGCGCATGAAAGCCCCTGTCTTGGTGCAGCAGCCTCAGGGCAGGGCTGCCCTCCCGGGGGCTGTCTGAGGGAGCTCTGGCCAGCTTGCTTCTGAGTTATTCATGGACTTTGTGTAAATGACAGAGTAATTGGTCTCAATCTGCCTCCCTTTCGTGTTACCCAAATTAAAGCCTTGTCAACTGACCTTTGGTGTCTTCTCCTTCAATTATGGCAAGTTAAGGACATTTATTAGGGAAAGGAAATTGCTAGTTAATATAGTGCTCATGGAGTTCTCACTCCTACTCCCCAGCAAAAGCTAATGCCTCTGTTCTCAGATTTCACTGGTGACCTTGCACCAACTCAGCCACTACAACCCCCACAGCTGCAGCCCAGCCCTGCATAATTCCCAGTCATCCCCCCACCCGCTTTCTAGGAGGCATCTCTCACCGCTTGGCGAGGCTGACACTTTACCCTCCACCTTCCTAATGGTAAGCCGTCAGTCCTCTCTCCTTTTTGCAACTTCAACTCTTCCATTGGCCCAATCTCCTTCCCTTCAACATTGTACACATTAGGTGCTTAATAAATGGTTGTCAGGTGAATGCAAATACAATGTCTCCATATCCTAAAGAACCTTCTCTTAATCATGCTACTCCCTCAGACATCTGCTCCCTGTCCCTCAGCGGCCAGGCCTCTGAGAACACAAACTAGCTCTCCAGTGCCCCACTTCACGGGCACCCTGGGTCCCAGCCCTACCACTGCTCCGGTGACCCAGAGTGCTGCATGCTAAGGACACCAGACTCTCTCTGTCCTTGCTCTCAACTTCTCCACAGTATGGGTACTGCTCACTGTTCTTGATGCTCACTCCTCCCTTGGCACTAATAAAACCCATACGTCTCCTCCGCCCTCCTCGCCACCTTTCTTCTGCCTGCCCCACCAAGACACAGGGGTCTGGTCCTAGACTGCCTCCTCTGAAATCACACTCGGGGCTCAGGCATCCCCTTCTCTTTATGTTCATGGAGTTTTCCAGCTGCTTTGTGTTTGATTTGTATGGGACAGTATCATACAACTCAAAATAAATCATCTTTTTTCCATCTAATGTTAATTACAGCCAGGAGCTGACACTGATATCCAAAAAAGTTGAACTGCACTTGACCTGTGAAAGCACATTGCTCCTGGATGACAGCTCCATGGCCTTGATCAGAAGTGACAGTGTGTGGGCCCAGGAGCTCACCCGAGTCCTTGGCCAACATTCTGAGTAAACCCATGACATCCCTGCTGGTCTGGGTTCCTGCAGTGACCCCCCTTGCTCCTCTGCAGAGGGGCCCCATGTACCCCTCAGAGACGTGGCTCTCTCCTAACCCCAGTCTCCTCTTTCTGACAGTCAGTTTCACCCAAATGCCCCACCGGTCCCCAGCACACCCTAACCACACCAGTATATCAGGTTCCCAGCTGCCTGACCTCGCTCCTCCTCCTTGTTCATAGTTCCACTTTCATTTCTTCTCCAGCTCCTCTGTTTCTCCTCCCATCTAATGAGTACTGTTACCGTTACTGATAAAGATCAAAAGGCAGCTGCCAGGCCCTGACCTAAACATTTTGCATCTATTAATTCACCTGATCCTCACAACCAACCTATAAAGTAGATATTAAATTGTCCGATGTCTGAATGAAGCAGCTGAGGCTCAGAGAGGTGGAGTGCCCTGCTCATGTTGCCCACAGTGAGGGGACAGGGCAGAATGTGGATCCAGGCCTATGTGAGGACACAGTCCTTATGCTTAACCCTGTGCTGCTCTTGGCTTCCTCTGCGGTGTCACCAGAATTGATGTCTTCTTTCCTGTTTCCATGGCATGGCTTGGGTCCTTTATGCCTCCCTCCTGTATTACAGGAGAAGTTTCTCCTGTGTCTCCCTGTCTTAGTCTTTTCTCCACCTTCACCCTGATCCAATCTCTTTAACCAGAGGTACCTCTGCCAGTCATTTCCTGCTCCGGAGGTTCCCTTCCGTAGTGGAGTGTGTCAAGTCTTTCCAGGCTTTTCCCACCCAGTCCCTTTCAAGTAGTCTGCCTTCATGAAGCCCCACCAGCCTGCTGCTCCTCAGACATCACGGCCCCTCCTGCTTCTGCTGCTTCCTGGCTCTGTGCAGCCTTCCCACTCCTCGGCTTGAGAGCAGCAGACAGGTCTAGGTGTGAGTACTGGATGGCTAGCAAAGCACCTTTTCCACTTCACAGATGGGCAAGCAGAGGCCCACACAGGTGAATACACAATCCCAAGGTTACACTTCTAGTGAGAGGTGAAGCTCAGAGAAAAGCCAGCTTTCTCACTCCCAGACCAAGGGTATCACAGACAACACGGTCTTCCCTGCTCATGGCATAAGGTCTCTGTGCTACCACAGTTCCCTCGCAGGTTCTACCATGAGCTGCCAGCTTCCACTTGGCTGCTATCCAACTGCTAACTCCTCCTGCCAGGTCAAACCCCTGGTGCTCAGCAAGTACTCAATAAATGTTTACTGACTGTGAGGTGAGTGGTTTCAAGATTGGATCATGCCCACAGCCTGTTGGTAGGCCCACTCACTCAGCCTTTCCCTGGGGTGGAGTCACATGCTCCAGATGTCCAGTCCCTCGGAGTCCTGCTGGGGAGCAAAGGGGCTGGTGGCAGCTGGCTCACAACTGTAGCAGACAATCCCTTCATCTCACCCCTGAGACTGGCTCCCCTGGCTTTGGCAGTAACTGTTCCATTGAGCCAGGGTGAAGGGCACCCAACTTGCCATCAAAATGTACCCTCCACTTGTCTCCTGGGAGCTTCCTGCTCCTGCAGAGGTTGAGTCTGAAGCTACCACCCCTTTAGGAACCAGGAGCTGGTCTGAAAACCCTTGGGGGGTGCGCCACCTGGAGTTCAGAGACAGTACTGCCAGAGAAGGAGAGAATTAGAGCTGCTTTACCTACCAGGAAGACAGCCCTGGGAAAGAGGCAGGGGACAGCTGGGAGGGAGGGAGACAGGGAGGTGGGAGGGGGTGATCTGTGCAAACATATACCTCACAGATTTATTTTCTTTTCAGACCTAGAAATCTTCAAATCTTTCCCCCCAAAATGCAGTTTTGGTTAAGTAAGCTCATGTTGAATGGTTTATCAACCTTCACTGAAATGGGTCATGAGGAAAAAGCAGGGAAAGGTTTTTGCATCAGGGGTGGTACTAGGGTTTGGGCACCATCCAAGGACAGTGGTTTGAGCGCCTCGCTCTTGTGGCTCTGGATTCACTCTGCTCTTGCTGGTTAGGCTATCTGCTCAAACCAACGCAGGGAATGGAGGTGGTTCTGCCCTGGTGGCAGGGGACAAGGACTAGAGCCCTGAGCAGCCCCCAGATTTGGTGCAACTCCATGTTATGCTCAGTTCTAGTGATGATTCCTTTACACGGGCATTTTAAACCACTACAAACCCACAGGCCAAAATGAAGTGGCTTTATGGTGCTGACTGCAGCTGTTTCCCTGCCTAGTAGTTTGTGAAGGCAGCATCCCAGCTGCCAGGGAAGGCGGAGAGGAGGAGGATTTACCACGGAGAGTGGGCAAAGCAGAGGGGGCGAAGCAGGCTGCACCGTCTGCACTGGTAATCATCCCAATGGATTTCCCATCCAGACTTTCTTAATGGGATAGGAGCCCTGGGCTGTCTGGTAACTACTAAACAGATATTCTGGAAGTCGCAGGCCTCTCCTTAGAGAGCAGAGAGGCCTGGGAATGCCTGCCGTGGGGTGGGGATGGCACTGGGCTGACAAGGTGACACATCAGTGACAGGCTGGCTGCCAGAGCAATAGCTTCTCTAATATCCACATAGCGCAGGAGCTGCTAAGGTGAGTGCTGGGGACAATGGCATGCCCACCTGACCGATAATGCCCAGCTGAGTGCCCAGCACAGGCCCTGGTCACCCACTTTTTTCTCTCCCCACCCCCAGCAACTGAAGTCACTGCTCAGGGAAGCTGTCCCCACCCCCACCCCATTCTGGAGGAAAGCAGAGGGCTGAATGAGGCATGCTATTTCCACCTGGGCTGTCAGGAAGCTCAAAGGTAGATGTCATAGATGAATTCAGCAGACCAAACTGGCTTCCCCAGGCAGCACCATCTCCCGCTGCGCTGCATTCTCCATGAATGGTGTCCCCTCCCATCTGATGCACAATAGAGCCCTGCCCACCAGGGTCCTCCATGGGCTGAACTGGGGGGACACTTGAGTAATTAACATTATGGAAACTTTCTGTACCATGTGCCCGTGTTGGGTACTACCCCCCAAACTTTCTGTCCCTTCCACGTCCCCAACCTCTCTGACAGTTGCCTCTTCCCCTTCTCTGGTACTTAAATGCTCATGTTCCCCAGTAGATCCTCCTCGCATCTCCCCCCTTCCTAGCCTGGCCTCCAACCTTGGGCACCCAATCTCCAGCCCAGATACTCTCCCCAGGGGCACTTTAGCATCTCCACATCCCTCGACCCTCCATGTGGGGGTACCAGGTGTCCAGGATAGAGGCCACTTGTCTCTTCCTCATCCTCATGTGCATCAGTCACCAAGTCCAGCCAGCTACGTCTTCTCAGTACTTGCATCTGATCCTCCTCTTTCCCAGTACTCACTGCCCTCGTTCAGGACTCTTACACCTATATTGTCCCTTTAAATCCACTCCACACTGTCAGCACAGCCCCCAGAGCAAGCTTTCACAAGTCTGACCAGGTCATTCCCTTCAGGAAATCCCCTTCAGTGGCTCCCACTGCTCTCAAGAGAGTGGCTACTTCCCTTGCCTGGATCCCCAGGCCCTGGACAAGTTCCCTCCCAATCTAATTTGCTGCGATCACCTTCACCAGACTTGACCCCTGACTTGTACCCCCTGGCACACCTTGTGTGCTTCCCACCATTATTCATGGGCTCCCCTCCTCCTGGAACACCCTTCCCAGCACTCTGCCACAGTCTGCCCTAACTGACCCCTTTCCCACCTCACCCCAAGGTGTTCAGTCCCTCTGTCCTGTGCTGCTCCCCAAGAGGGGACCTGGAAATCACCTGGTTTAGTCCCCCAGTGAATTGCGAGGTTCTCAAGGTCAGGGACTATGTCTTGGCCATCTGTGTTCCCAACCCTTAGGCCCAGAACCAGGCTCTGCGTGGGCAATCTATGGGTATTGGCTAAGCTGACCTGAACCAGCACATCCATTCATCAATCTTGTAGATTCTGAAATCACCTTTGGCTTTATTTCGCAAAGTGTGTGTCATTTAACCTACTGTGCAGGAGTTCAAACACTAAAGAAAACCGTCTTTGGCAGGAAACCTGCAAATAGAGGGTGGTGTTTAGAAAGGGCTCCTGTGAAGCACCTTGAGGCCCCAAGGTGCCCCCTACCTTTCTCAGGGTCCTCCAGGCTCGTGCGGACAATCTCCACCACTTTCTCTACCTCCTCACTTTTGCAGACGTTGAGCTGAACAGTTCTCAGTCGATCACTTTTCAAGCTGTCCAGTTCCTTGGCTCCAACATCCCCTTTGTCCTGAGGAAGAGACAGAAGCTGCTTCACCCTCCTGCCTCCAGGCTGAGGACGAGGGCCAAGGCAGGCAGCTGGCCCCAAGTCCCTGCTGAAGTCAGGGCTACTGACAACTGAGGCAGTGGTCCATAGAGGCCCACTGCCTGCTCCACCAGTTGGGGAGGGGGTGGCTGAAGATGTATCAAGCACGAAACTAAGTGCCATAGACATAACTATGAGCCCCTAAATCCTCACTGGCAGGACCATTTCTCTAAGCAGAGGTTGAAAATTCAATACCTACCAGTTCCAGACATGTGGGTATCACATGGTGAGAAGGGGTGATACTCAGGAGTGGAGCACAAGTCTTGTCTCTCAGCACCTGCCAGCTGTTATCCACATGTACATGCAAGCTCAGGATTAACAGATGCTTGTAACTGGAATGTCTGTGTAAAATCTTTTAATTTTTTAAGTGTTCACAACTTATTTGTGTTTTCCAAAAAAAACAATACGTGGGCCAAAGGACATCCACAGGCCACATGTGACCAGCAGGCAGCATTTGCCACCTCTGTTCTAAGCCAAGGGCCTATCACCTGCCAGAGCCAGGCTCTGCTGCCAGCTCAGTCACTAACCAGGCTCTGCACGCTCAGGTGCATCCTTTAACAGGTGCCCAATTTTTCCAGCTACAGTTAGTCATAAGGACTTTGCCACCTACTCTGACCTGCTCAGGTTAATGGAATGACAAAACTGCTTTTTTAAAAGCCTGCTAAGTGATAAAGCACTATGCAAATTCAGGTAATATTACACATGACAAAAGTATCACTCACTCAGCAAACATTTCTTGGGCCTCTATCATATTCCAGCACTGTGCTAAGTACTGGAGACACAGAAATAAATAACAGTGCCTGTTCTCAAAAGTCCGCATTTTAGGGAAGGCAGCAGATGAGTAAGCAAACCGCACAAGGAGTATTTGCTGCAGAAAACCTTGTGGAAGGTGGGGGGCTGCATAGAAGGTGGGGTGGGCAGGCAAGGCTTTCCAAAGGCAGTGACAGCTCAGGACAGGGGCTCCTGAGGCAGCTGTGGGGTGTGAGGCTGGAGAGGTGGGCAGAATCTGTGTGGTGAGCTGCAGGAGGGTTCACATAAAAGCAGGTGTCATTTAGCGAGTGTTTACTGCACTTCACATTGTGCTAAGCACTTGACATGCATTTTCTCATTAGTCCTCACTCACATCATGAGACAGTTTGTATTTTCATATTTCATCTCTTCTATGACATATTTTTTCACAATAGGGATGAGCTACACACAATGTGAAAATGAAACACTGGAGCCATAGTATAATTGGCAGTGATTTTCTCAATGGTGATGGAACAGTAATGCATCTTACAAGAGGATAGGAGGAGCTACAGAGGATAAAGTGGTAAGAAGATTGCCTGCTCTCAGACCAGGGCTTGCCCGGGGCATGTACAACTGGTACTAAAGCAAGGGCTAGAGTAGAAAGCACAGGGATGGTCAATATGTCAGGGGAAAGTTCTCTGTGAGTTAGGCAGAGTCTTGCATAAGCAGTTTGAACCAGGAGGACCCACACCCCAGGACTGGAGCCAATGTCAGAGGGACACACTGTCAGAAGAACTCAGAAGAGAACAGTAAAGGGACTGTGTCCAATCGGGCCAAAGGTGATAGAGATTAATCATTCCGGAGAGAGAATTCAGAGAGAACATGGTGGCAAGAGACCAACCTGTGCTATGCAGCCCAGAAAACAGAACCAGGGCCAAGAAGTCAAATTCAGCTCAAAATGATGAGTGACTTTCACAGGCCAGAGGTGGCATGGACCACCTAGGAGGTGTTCAGACAATGAGGGTGGAGGTGGGGGTTGGGGCAGGGTGGGGAACATGGTGCATAGAAAACCCAGGCATCAGACAGGAAGTCAGGCTGATCCCCCTCCTTTTAGGTATCTTCCACTCCTAAATTGCTATCTTCTCCAGGGAATTCCCCACACCCCACCCTAGCAGCCCTACTGCAGACGCAACACACATGGCTCCTGAGGCCCAGTCTGGCACTGGGAATGGCAGCTACTCCCAAAATCCCCTCTGTACACAGCAGCCAGGTGTGGGGCTTGGTTCACTCAAGGCTTGGCTCTGAAAGACCTGGATGTGCCAGCCTTCCCAAACGACACGGCAGGTGTTCCATCCACAGGACAGACAGGCCTGGACTTTCTGCTGCCATTCCCATACAGGGCTCACCAAAGAAGAATTCCCTGGCATGCCACCTTCAACGCTGGAGGGGCTGGTGCCTCAGGCACCTCTCTTTTCCACACACAGCACACGGGGACCAGGAAAACCCATCTTGTTTTAATGCAGTCTTCGTATCATGGCTCCTCAAATGCCCCTCAGAGCTGAGCCCAAGAAATCTGTCTTCAAAGGAGTGCTGATGTCTACTTCTGATACGAGCAAGTCCAGCTGAGAGAAGCACCTGAGCATCCTTTCCTCTTCCTGGATTTGGCTAATCCTGCTGCCATCTTCAGCAACTCCTGGATGCCACCCCTGACCTCTCCTTGGGCCTGCCTCTAGCTAGCATGAAGCCAACGCTCCTGTAGCCCCCAGGGGAAGCCCCTCACCTCAGGTCAGGGTGTCCAGAAGAGGTTGGTTTGGCAGCTTGGTAGCTAAGAGCTTACTCTCAAAGGAAACTACCCACGGCCTTGAGTTCAGCATTCAGGCCCCCAGGAAAGAAATCCTACCCTCCTACCTTCACCTGACAGACCCCAGGAGTCCTCATCCACCTCTGAGCAGCTTCCACACCCTGCTTCTGACAGCCACCTTAACAGGGAAAGGGCCTCTCATTTTGTCCCCAGCTATTCCAAGGAGACCTTTCCCAACTGCCCTCAGCCTGCAAGCTACAGACAATGGTGGCTCATCCCCTTCCAGATCCACCTGTCCTCAGGCCACGGGCTGCATTGCCTGGGCCACAGTGCCTCCCTGGCTCCAAGGTTTCTCTGGCTTTGTCCACATCTGTCTTGATACTCAGAAACAAGCTTTCAGTCTTGCTGCATTGGTGCTGGTGTAACTAGTTTATTGGTAAACCCACTTCTTACACTATCCCTTTAAACTTCATCCGTAAGCTATTTTTTTCCACCCCAGATGAAATTTTAGGCAAGTCTTATAGCCTTTCCACTCATTCTCAGATAATAGAGAACCTCTTGTTTTGGAACAAAGAGTCCAGTTCAGTCTGGTAATCAAATAACTCCTCCCCAGCCTGGTTTGAAAACTCATACTCTCAAACTTGTATCCAGTTTAGAGCTTGTCTGTCTCAGGCCTGCAGGACTGTGGGAAACCAGTGTGACACCAGGTAGAAGGGGTGGAGGTTGTCTTTCTCACCATGTTCCAGCTCCCTCTCCTCTCTCATTCCTTTGCCTCAGACCTTCTCAGGTTAAACCCAGGGGCTGACAAATGAGGGAGCAAGACTATAGTCTTCTGACTGGTACCATTGCTGTCTGTGGCTGGTACCCTGGGATGGCAGGTACACTAGGGCTGGCCCTCCCTCCCTGGTGCACTTTGGTGGGTTCTGGAAGATCCCTCCACCGGAGACTCCTGTTCCCTTCCCTCCTCCAGCTGGGCATCTTCTCCCTCAGCCTGGGCTTTAGTGAGGCACCCCCTGGTCAGTCACGTGGACCCCTGGGAGTTTCACGGGGCTGATGCTCTTAAGATGACTCCAGGAGCTCTCCCCACTATTCATGTGGGGTTCAGGCAATGGTGTCTTGCTCAGGTAGGACAGCTCTTCCCCTATGCAGCATTCTCTGCTCTGCTTCCAGATGAGTCACTCTGGACTCTTTCTTAGGCCTTCAAACTTCTTTTGGTAAACATAACACTCCATTCTGTGGCCTCAGACTCCAGGGCACAAATGGTAAGCTCTTCAAGGAGTTCTCTTGAGACCCAGTGGAAAATATCACAGCACATTAACATCTCTTTTCAATCTCTCAATGTCCTCCACCTTAATTGATTACAATGGTGAGGCAGGTGATGAGCTAATCCTGGCAGAAAGATCTCACAGTCTCTCAGCATTTATTGTCGGTGATCTAGCACCTCAAGGCAGGATGTAACAACACTCAGCCTGTGTTACATGTGAGCATCTTTTTAAAAAAATATTTTATTTATTTATCTTTAGAGAGAGAAGAAGGGAGAAAGAAGGGGAGAGAAACATTGATGTGAGAGAGATACATTGATCAGCTGCCTCTCACATGCCCCCCAGCTGGGGACCCGGCAGCAGCCCAGGCACATGCCCTGACTGGGAATTAAACCTGTGACCTATCACTCTGCAAGATGACACCCAACCAACTGAGCCAAGCCAGTCGGGTCACATATAAACATCTTGTCACATGTATTAGAAATACTGTTACAAGAGAAGAGAGCCTGGGACATAGTAATAATTATAGGAAAAAGCACAGGAGGAGCTAGCAGAGAAGATGGAGAGAAATCAAGGGAGCAGGGCGCCCACAAAGTCAAGAAATAAAGTGTTACAAACAAGAGCAGTTTGGCAAAGTCTGCTGATGGGTTGAGTGTGACACAGTCTGAGCAGTGAACAATGGATCTGGCAAAATGGGGACTTTTGGCCTTCTTGATAAAAGCCATGTCAGAGCCCCTCCTGGTCCAGCACTGCCCTCCTTTCCCAGCTCACGTCCTCTTCTTCCATGAGGACCACATCAGACTACTGGCAGTGCCTGGATATGCCACCTCCACTCATCACAGCGGACTCCTGCTTATCATTCCAGACGGTGATTACACACCACCTTGGCCCGTCAAGGCTTCCCTATGATCCCAGAGAGATGCAATCTGTTTCCTCTCTTATACAAAATCTTACATTCCCCTCTACACGCCCCTCCCACCCCCACCATTCTCACCTCACACTCCTCCCTCTCACTCACTTAGCTGCAACCACAGAGGCTCCCTGCTCTTTCTCTAACACACCAGGCATCTGCTCTCCCTAGAGCTTTGGCTTAGCTGTCCCCTCTTCCCCAAATATTTTTCAAGATTGCTCGC